CCCCAAAACCCCAAAACCCCAAAACCCCGAAATGATAAATAATGAGAGAAATTTGTATGTTTTAAATTAATATCACTAAGCTTAGTTAATTAAATAAGTAATTAAGAATAATAGCGGATTGTATTGAATCATTTTTTATTTTTGAAGATCTTAAAACAAATATATGACTTTGAATTTACACAAATTTCTCAGAATATTTGATATCTATGGGAAACCTATAAGTTTGACTTACAAGGGATATCAATCATACAGAACTGCCTTTGGAGGCTGTCTTAGTATATTACTAAGTACCTTTCTATTTGCTGTCTTCATATCGAAGTTAATAATGATTAGCCATTCTGATTCAAAAATAATATCGAAAGTTACTTAACAAATAAAATAGGAGGATTCCATCTAAGAGGTGAATTTAGGTGGTGATCAGTAATTGATGCTTGCCTACTAAATTTACTTTAGAAATGGAACAAAAGCCACTAATTTAGAGAAACACTTTAAAGTTTAACTTAATCAAGTTTGGGATCAGGATAATTCAAATAGTATTCAAGATGATTTACGTAATATAACTGTAAATAATCTGTAAATATCTTCATGCAATCAGAGCTAAAGTTAGTTATCAACTATATTAAAAGAGAAGCAAATTATAGATTTGTCTACTTATAATTGCCCAGAAAATAACGACAATTTTACAATTTAAGGATCACTATTCTCACAAAAATTCAAGAAAATAGAGTTTATCTTGGGATAATGTTCTGATTGTAGTTCTGAATAAATGACATAGATTCTATATCTAATCAGAGTAAGGATAATAATCATTAGTTAAAATCCCTCACTTGAATTAGACTAAGAATCTAACTAACCTCTAGCATTTAAATTAGATGAATATGAATACTCTCCTCTTTTTAACTCAGCAACATTTCCAGCAGTAAAAATTCCAATTAGAAAGATCCAAATAACTCAGAATCGTAATCTCTTGGGATTTTTCGATAATAACACCTAGACTTCTGGCTTTGAGGCTTAATAACCTATTTATAAGCAGGATAAATGAGAAGGAAGTTAAGATTTCTCCTTTCATCTATAAATAAATCTCGAAAATAAAGAAGATATTTATCAAATCAAGGTACTTACATTTTCAGATGTTTTAGAATAAATTGGTGGACTAGGAGTAATGATGCTATTGTTAGGATACTACTTAGCCAGATTTTTCTAAACTTAACTCATGTATGCATCTATAATGCATAAGGTATTTCTCATATAAGGGTTTCAACATCATGTAAAGAGAGAAAAAGATGATCATTCTTAGCACTCCTCAGAGTTTAATTAGACCAATTAGACTTTATAAGATCAGATGAGGATAGAAAACATGGAGAGAACTGAATTCATCAAGAAAGGACTGCAGAAATAAATAACTGAAGGGTAAAATTTCAAAGCCAAAAAGACTATGTACGAAGAGCTCTATGAACTGATTAAAACCAGAGGGAGATTCAGAGCAAATAATGCAGCTTTCTTGTCCAACATGTTTTGCAAAAATCAACTGTGCAGAACTCAGAAATAGAAGAAATATGAGTTGAGAGATGGGAAATATAGGTCTATTAAAGATTAGTTCGATTTAGGAAAAAATTAAGTCATCAAAGAACTAGACTGTGTTAACATAGTTAAGAAGCTAAGAAAGCTAGACTAGTTTTTCAAAATAATGCTTTCAAAGCCTCAGCAAGCATTATTCAAGCACTAAAAGAAGGAATTATTAGATGAGTTCAGTGGATCTGAGGAAGATATAGAGGGTATTTAGTTTAAAAGTGAAAAAGGACTGCAGATGATAGAGCTATACAAGGCTCTTAAATTCTACGAAGAAAAGTCTAAAATAAATTCAATTGACAGTAATATTTTATATGGAGTAGTATCCTAGAATCCTCAAGATTAAATCATCAAAATGATTAAGAAAAAAAACATGAATTAGAGTACAAAGCCAAATGAAAGCTATCAAAGAAGAAGAGAGTCAGCAAGATAGAGATTAGATGAAATCCAAGAAATGAGTGAAAAAACTTCTACTCTAAAGAAATCTAATTAAAGAACTTCTGAAATTAAACTACTTAAGTCTAGAAGTAATGATGAGAATCAGTAGTTTTTATCGATTGATATCTAAGATTCAAATAAAATCTTTACTGAAAAGAAGCAGAGAGAACATAAAAATCCGGTAAGAGGAAAGTATAACTCAGAAAAACTAATCTAATTATCTGAATTCTAAGGACTCATTAAACAAAAAGAAGATGTAATCCTTGAGTCTATTCCTGAAAAATCTGAAAGCAGATCAAGTAAAACAAAGAAAAAGCAAAAGTCTAATAGGAACGGACAAGGGAAAGTTAATCACAAAAAGTATTCATAAGTAGAACAGATGTAAGTCAAAGATATTGACTTTGATAACAGGAAGTCAGAGAGATTGGATATTGAGTCAAACAGGTATCTTAACGATAAATTCATGATAAGAAGCCACGTCGAGATTATCTCTAGCTTTGGAGGTAATTAGAGAGACAATAATAACAGCTACAATTCCATTACTAGTGATGACCAATAGAGTAATTTTAATAATCTCGAAGCTACCTCATAGCAATTAAAGCCATTGAGATCATCACAGATAAGGCAATCAGAAACAATATCAAGCGGAAGAAGAAAAGCTCCTAATGATTGATTTTTAAAAAACTTTTGAAATTCAAGTCAAAAAATCCAACTCAAGTTTGAAAGTTGATATTTTTTGTCAAGTTTACCCAGAGGCTACTATTATCTTAACCTAATAGGCCTTACTATTAATTTCATTATTCTTAATTTAGGACATACATATTTTCTCTATTTATTTAGCATGATGGGGTTTTGGGGTTTTGGGG